TATACGTTGCCCAGGGTGCACCACGTGGAGGTGAGTCTATCGCACACCCCAACATAGTAATTGATACTATTATTTAAACTAAATAGGATTAACTTTAATTATGATGAAGTGAAATCCGCACCGAATGTATTTTTAGCAAACGAACTGACTCTCAGGGCTGCTCGTCTTAGCTACCCACACTTATGTTAACTACAAACTGTTTTTTTTCATATTTTTTTACCTCACTCGTCAGTTTAACATTTTCTAACTTAGAGGATCTTTCACGGAATTGGAAACAGGTAAAGTGCTTTCAGGTATCCTTTTTTACCCTTGAACAAATCAGCCCGATTCTCCTTGAAAGTCTATATTTTCGCCTCTTTCCATTATAAAGCACGAGTTCTTCACAATTCTCAAAATCACGCATAAGGCCCATTCCTTACACATGCTCTAATTAATTCGCGTAGGCTAAAAGTTGCACATTCATTACTAGTCTGCCGCCTGAAATACTTTGGTGCGTTTGGTTTTTACTTAAAATCTACTTAGCTCTCGTTTGTACTGCAAATTTTAACTTTATCGCCATTTTCCATCAATTGTGCCTTATCTTGATGGGCTAAATTTGAGTCATATTGAACAAGCTTTAAGCGAAGTGCTGCTGTTTATGAAGTTGGTTTTATTTCGTAAATATCTTTGTTTTTATATGGCAAAAGATTTTAAACCTTAAACCCCACTGATTCTAAGTCGAAAATATGAGTCCGCTATCTCTGCATTTTTTGTTACTATTTTCTACTGCTTTGGCAATCTCTGGTTTCTTATGTATCTTTTTAAGATGTCTTAGTTGTATTTGGTCTATTCCATGTTCCAAGCCTACCTACCTGCCATGTTTCGTTTGGGCTCACCATGTGAAGAGTATTTATCTTGCAAATTAAAATCCAGTACCCATTTACGAAATAGTTTTTTTCCAACCGTGTTATGTAAAGCGAAGAAATAATAGATGATAGTCGGAATAATCTGGTTCTTTGGAAAGAGAACTCTAGTTTATGATGTAAATAAGAACGTTTTCTGAAGAATATGACACCTTGGGGGCTCTTGTTTAGGAGCTGGGAGGGGGGGGGGGCGGATATCTTCATTTGGATTCCGATGGATTCAGATGACATTTTTCAGTAAGATGCTTTTCACCAGCAAATATTGAATGATTTCATGGCAGGCTGAATCTACCACTATTTATTTCCATCATCTATGGCCGAGTGATAATTGACTACTCCTGTTTTGTCCTCTATAGCTGCAAATTTTCAAAAATTGTCTCCAGTTTTAATCCAGCTTATGATAGATATCATCGAAGAGCTGTTACGATCTATTGTTGACTTCTGTTGCGAAGGCACTGATTGATTTTAAGAAATATGTGCGTATACTCGATGCCAATTAAAGCGTTTTGCTTATTATCTCTTCAGGCACAAAGATGATGGCCCTTCTATGGTACTATCGACCGGAGAGTCTGGTGCCGCCACGTCGAAATGGTGTAATTGACTGTGAACTCTTCGCCAGTCGTCATTGCGATGTCAATCCGGTTGATTGTATCGATGATTTGGCTTACGTTTACTCCTCTTTGCCCTACGCTCGATTTATGGCTCTTGCGAAGTACAAACAGGTGAGTATTATGCCACTTCTATTTGTCCCTCCATAATTATCATTGGTTGATATTTCCATTTTAAGCTTAAATAAATTTTGCCAATCTGTCAGATGCCTGATTGAACAGTGTGCATGGCCATTCAATTATAGCTAATGTGTTCCAGATTGCCCAATATTTCGAGTTGAAACTATCGTCGCATTCCTCACAAACCAAGCTTGGCAAAATTAGGAATTTATGGACTTAGTTGGAGCTTAATTTAACTAATGATTGTTTGATGTTTAAGGATAGGTTTTCAATGAATGATTGTTTGGTAAGTCTATAAACTGGCAGTCGACTTCTGACTTCAAACTACCATGACCCCACTGTATGTCATATTCGAATACTTCCATAGTACTCATCTCACCTTTTTCTCTACCATTGTGCCTGTCTGTCGCTTTTACATCTGTGAATCACTCTTCCGTTCCCTCTCTCGACTTTTGTGACTGATGTTCCTCCTCCTCTCTGTGAAGCCCAAAGTCAACTAAATGGCTAATGATAACCATCATAAAGCCTGTCATTTGATATAAATATTCATTGGCTAAGTGAATTATTATTCTATAATTTCGAAGTTTTATTGATTATTTCGATTTGCCGGTGTGTAGTACGTTCTGGTTAACTTTGATAAATTTTCATTGTTTAGCCTAATTCATGCATTTTTGAGTATGTGTGAACTCGTTGATCTTAATTACCTACAATTTCGAATTTGTTGAGATGGGATTTTGTGACTTTCATTCTTTTTATTTGAAGATAGTAGTTAATGCAAATATCTCAACAATCTAAACTGATTTGAGGTCTTTTGTGTTAATTTATGTTTATTTTTAAGAGGCCTTTCCTAATGCCATAATTCCATATTTGTATCATTTCTCCATTTTGTTTGATTTCGACATTCTTGAGAGTAAATTTGTGATATCTTTAAATTCAAGTCTCTTTCGGAATCATCAACTTCAGCCTGAATTTCTTTTTTCTGTCGGGGTGTGTGGGGCTTGACGATGGGGTAATTGGTACCTACTTTAGGCTATAAAAGAGGAGCTTTCAAGCACACAGAAACAATTGGCGCATTAAGTTGTTTCCTCTGTAGTAAGGGGCTTTATTTCGCTATATCTTGGTTAGAATTCAGATCTCGCTATCTAATTCCAAGATTCCTGAATGAAAATGGATATTCACGTTGTTCAGAAATAATTATCTTCTGTAATTCCGCCTATCAACCCCAAAGTGGCAATAGAGAGGAGAACAGGCGACGACTTTAAAGCTCACAACATTTTTTAAAACCATATCCAATTACCTAGAAACAGTTGGAATAAGCGAGATGTTTCAATCGTTAGGTTGGACAAATTCGTAATTAATGGTTGTTTTTATTGTGGCAGGAAAAAATAAAGCAAAATTGAGTGTTATGATCAACAAAAATACAAGTATTTTATATCCCTCCTTTGCGTATTAACTAGTAGATTGAATTGGATTGCTAGATAAAAAGTACCTTATAGCCCAGATTTTCCGGTTGATCTACCCCCCTATTTATGAGACGCAAACGGTTGACAGATGAGGTTGTCTTCTAACAAGGCCAACTACACACTATCACTTAAGGCCTTGCGATCATATGTTACCGTTTTTTGTCATTCCTATTTGCTAAGTTCAGGTTTGTTTTTTCTTTGTTTGATCATCGGAACAGCCTACGCGGTAGCTATCTCTCTTGTAAACTGTGAATTTTGTGAACATGCTTATGGCGCAGCTTTAGATGAAATTGCTTTCTATACGATAAGATCGATGTTTTTGGAAATGGTAAACTAAAGTGATGCACTTACAGCTATATATAAAAAGTCTATTAGATTACCTAATTGAATTAGGTATCGATTGTAAGAGTACGGAACTTGTAGTGCGCAGACACCAACTCATGCCACATCACGCCCTAATCGTCAGTGGAAAACTTTTATTGGTTGCTTATAAACAAATAAAGGATTTGAAAACTGTCAAACCCCCCCCCCCCTTGTTGTACCTTGATGTGCTCTTTATCACGACCCAGTCTCCACTCGCTCAGTGCTGACCACTTTTCACTTTTACTCCACGTGCCCCTTTCTTTCCTCCTCTCTCATTCCACTAATTTTATCACAAATTTGGCTCTTTATCTGTTCACTTTAGCACAGTCTTATTGTGCCCTGCTAACCCCTTAGGAAGATCAGTTAATTCAAACTGGGCAGCCCTAGTCCTAACTTGATCTAATTCTCAAAGTGGCTATTATGCAGGGATTGACGTTATACTTTAAGCTTGGTAACACATCTACTATGAGGACAATGCCTGATCGTATTTTCTTTCCTAATTAGGAGTGTCGTACTCATCGCCGACCGAGTTCTATTGTTCCTCCTCTTCACAAAACCCCTGCATCTACCTCAACTAAAAGTGAAGTGGTAAGTAACATTAGCAACCGATTGTACTATTCAAATCAGCTTAACCAATGCCTCTTATCTAATTTACTTATGTTAGTATATTTAACAAAATGCCCGTTGAAGCTGATGGATTTTGATCTGTGTTTGAGCTCCACCTTATTTTCATTCATAATAATTAGATTACCATTTTTCCAATAATCTATATTGTATTATTTAATTCAACTGCAATAAGGTGGATTTGCCTAGATCAAATAGTACACGAGTTTAAGGTCTTCAACAGCCAATTCCAACAAAATGTGAAGACTTTAAGGCAATTTTCGTTTATTTGCGCAAACCTTCTTTTATTGCCTCAAAGCAAGAAAGACAAATTATGGGGTATTGCTTTAGATTGTGAGTATCTTATCTCCCAATAGCGGGCGTCTTTTATTGCCAAATGGAGTAGCGAAAAAAGGACCTGCCTACACACAAAGACATTAAAAACAATTAGTGAATGGGTGCAGTCATGGGGTCGTAATTGTAGTATGATGTGGCAATTTGGTTATTAAAAGTATTTTGCTAATTTTACCTCAATGGTAGTTGCTTGTTTGCTTCGAAACTATTGCCGCTAAGTTTATTCGATCACAAACGCATTCAAGTGGAAACAGTAAAGGCGAGTCCGGATTTATTTCGAGCCCAAGTTCTTGAGATCTGATCCTTCTTCTTCTCCTACTGCTAGGTTCAGTGTAGGGTTGTCTTGTTGGCTATTGAGTAAAAATTGCACCAAATTTCTGAGATTAAAGAGGTGGAAGTACTTCCCATGACTTTTGCCACACTGAGTTTGTTTTAAAGTGTCTCCCGCAGCTCATGATTAGAACTCGATAATACTACCCCTTAGGGTACCAATCGTAAAGCCTCGGCGGACGGTTGCTCATTAAATCGCCCTCATACCGTCAAGCTGTCCGTTGCATTGTACAAGCTCAATGTTAGCTAGCTAAAAAGAGCTTCATTACGTGTATTCAAATGAGGTTTAAAAATAGGACTCTGTTTAATGCTCCTTTTTGGTTATTTCTTATGCGACCATTTATTAAAAAAGGAGCTTTTATGCTATATTTTGGGTATCCTTAATGTAAGACTGAATAGAGAAATGGTATTAATTTAAGACACCACCCAAGTGATATGACAAGGAACACACAATGTCTTTAGGAGCGGAAAAAAGGAGAAAATAGCTTCGCATCACATATTTACTTGTTACTTTAGTGTGCGCGCGTGCGTGTGTGTATTTTCGTAAACAGAAAGTTATTCCTTAAAGTTTTTCACTTGTGGCACACTTTGCCACTATTACATCTCTCTCTTCCCCCCGCCCTCTCCCCCCCCCCCCCCCCCCCCCCCCCTCCCCTTTATTATCACAAATAAGCGAGTTGTTAACGCATTGCACTCATAGAAAGATCCCATTATATGTAGCCGTTTATGCAGCTAGTTCCTATGGCATTTTCAGTTATAATGCTCTACAATTGGTCACTATATTATTAAAAATGATGATAAACTTTTGCCTTTTCGAGAGTAAATCTGTTGGAGTGACCGATTTATCTCAGTTTTAAGCTTACAATTTTGCTATCAGTGCTTGGATTACTGTTCGGTGAGATTGATTGGATATTTTGTATTTGTTTGCTTGTTTTTTTTTCAGTCTAAACTGCTACACTGGCCTATGGAGACGTGAGAATACCTATACTTGGCAGATTTGCTTCATTAGTGCTCCAGATTACTGACAGAGTAGGCCACGTTTGATGGGTAATGGGTCTGTCGATGGGATAGCCAAGGTGGGGGGGGGGGGGGGGGGGGGGGGGGAGGGGGGGTGATACGGGGTATCTGCGTCGATGTAATTATGCCATAGAAAAAAAAGAAGCGAAAGGCTAAATTAAATTAAATACATTTTTTTCTCTTCTTTCATATATTTGCACGACTTCTCTCCTTGTCATGACTTAAAATGTCTGAGAACGGAGCTTGGAATGTGTACCGATCATTCTCCTCTAATTTGAAAAGGACCAGCTAGAAACGAGTCACTTCTTTAACTTATTCTTGAAAAAGGGTAACATTGGTAATATTTTTCAGCGAAAATAATTCTAAGTCTTTTTTTAACTGGCAATCAACAGCCCGGTTAATTTTATCATTTACGACTTGTCACTAGCTTTCAACGGCTTAGTAATGTCAGCGTAACCTTTCATTGGTTGATATTGTCATTTTTAGCCATTATTTGTCATTCGAAAGGAAACATTTTTATTCCGATGTACGTGATAAGTAATGTTGTAATTAACTAATAAATACTTTGACGGCATTCTGAAGTTCGCCACTCCTCGGGCAAGGAATTTGGTGCTTATCTATTAGAAAAGGGTACTAACCAATTCTGGCCAACTAGGGAAACGAGTTCTGCTAGGGCTTCTAGCAGTGGTAGAACTTTCTTATTTGATCTAAACCAGAGAGAAGATTCTGAAAGCTATTTTTCAGCTTCAATTTTACGTCGTTACCAATGCCTATGGTGCGTTTTAGCTGCTATGCTGTCAAAAGTGACTAACCTTCTTGCTCAACCAGTTTTTTTTTCACATTAACATTTATTGCTTTTTTCCGATGAGACGTGATAATCCCCTTGTTTTCTTGACCTGTCTTGCTTTTTTTGCGTTTTTTTCTCCTTCACTGGTATACTATACCCATAACCCCTTTTGTGGAAGATGTAACTATGAGCCTATCTATTAGGCTATTCTACCGTGCTGTTAACATTATTATATTGCCTCTGTTTGTGGTCATTTGTTAGAGTCCTGAACTTCAATAATTGGAAGTCGTTTTTTAACCTCACGATTCGACATTTTTGATCTCTGAAGGCTTGTGTCAAACCTTGGGTGTTTGGTGTTCCTCACATGTAAGATCTCTTCTCCCTATGCACCATCGTTATTGGCCTCCTATTCCTAGCTAGTGTTCACAACTAACTCTTCCTAACTCAGCAACGGGTAAATTTGGTAAGAGTAAGTCGAATAATTCTTGGTCTATGAATCAAAACTATCAGAACTCATGATTTGTTTGGTTGCCTTATGTCCCATTATATTGATTTTCTTACTTTGTATCAGTACGTAGTTGCTACATGCTTATCGCCATCATGAACATCACGGTTTAATTATGGAGGATTAAAAAATTTGCAAATATTGAAACTGGAAGGTAGTCTAAAGCTCCACTGGAGAGAAGACCACTTTCTATCATCAAGACCATTATGTTGGTAATATCTGCTGTATTATCTGCCGTCCATTCCATTTGATATGGACCAAGTAGCATCAATATATACCTTCAAATCCCTTAGCTTGGATGGAGGGAAGCTATCATGGAGCTACTCTGGTTATGGATCAAAAGTAACCAGTGCATTCGTTCATTCAAGTTACTTGATACCCACCAATGGACATTGACTTCATGATTTCTAATTTGATAGACGTACACTTTTACTACCGTATCACTTCCTATCTAGAACCTGAGTCGTATGTCAAGGCTTATCTTTGCTATTTCCGGAGTAGGTGTTGGCGAGATGGTATTGCAAGCAAGGGCTTGATGAAAAAAAGCTTTTTTATACGAGACATCTATTGGAGCTATGTGTATGTACTTTTAGAATCTCAACTTTAAAGCACTCTCTCCCCCAATATTAATTTCAACGACATTGCGTGCTCTTTTTCATTGTTTGCGAACATGCTAGCCACACAAACGATCACAACACTCTCGTATTCACTGACCCTACCACCACAAACTTACATTCATCAAGCATGGTGCTATGGAGTAGGGGAAATGGTTTTGAGACTATAAGTAGTAGTAGGTCGAATTAACGGGAGCTCATCAAACCTTCACGGAGATGGCAACCCCGATAGCAAGTGATTTTAAACTACCTTAATTTTCGATTCTGTTACACTGAGTAAACAATTTTAGATTTAATCTACTTATTGACTTCCTCGAAGTCTTGATTGATGATAAGATATGCATTGTGGCTTTTATAGAGTTTTGGTAACCATGACTACAAGCCAAGATAATAACTCCACTTCTGCCAATTGAAAAATAATTGAAGCTCAACTTATAGGTCGAAGAGTCTCCTTTGAGCTCTGTTTATTCAAGATATCTGTAATCTGATGTACCATTTAGAAAAATATAAAGGGAAGGCAAGGCTTACAAACGTATCTATTGCTTCCGATCTTGTCAGTTTGGGAAGATTGGAAGGAATTGCCAGCGATTTAAATGACAAGCAACGAAGAGTACTAGCTTACGGTAACTGATAAAATCAGACGGTGGTTTAACCGTCGGGGCGTGTTGGAGATAGCAACCACTTTTGTGCTTGATAAACCAGGCTAGAATGTCAAATGACAAGTTAGTTAAAGCCGAATAAATTTTATCAGCTGTAAATTTACAACCCTACTACTTCATTATTGTATGTTCTTTTTTTCTAATCAAGGCTTGGCTAAACTAGCTAATACTTTGTTCGTGTCCTTTCATTTTAGAATCGCCCTGGAGACGTTTCAGAGTTTCCTGAAGAAGCGACAATCTCCAATGTGTTTCTCTGTCGTGCCTGGTACGATTTCCACTCCCGCAGAGTAATGCGTAGCTTGAAGGCTCTTAATAATAATCAACACATTACGAACACAACCGCTTACACTACGAATAACAATGGCCCCACAATCACTAAACTCCAACACCCCCAACCTGTCACTTCCTCGAGTCCAGTCGGTCATACAGCCCACTCAGAGGTTCCCAAGTCCACAACAAATCAACCGTCCACAGAAGAGGAGTCGTCTAATGGGCGAGCTATACTAGAGACCACAGCAGAGCTCTCCATTAATTGGGCTGATCACGGAGAAAAGATTGTAATGGCTTTAGGAGGTGATAGAAGTTTATCCTCAAGGCCATCTTCTCCCCGAAAAAACAAAGCATCTAAGGGTGAAGCTGAATCAGTTTCTTCGTTGCCTCTTCCCTCTTCGTCTTAACTATTCGTCTCGCTGTCCTCTTTTATTGCGTGTGTGAATGTGTCTCTGCTGCATAAACTGGTTTTCATGCTTTGTTCTTCCTTTTTTCCTCTGCGTGCGTGTATATAGAGAGGCGCGACTGACTAGATGTTGTAGTTGTCCATCTGGATTCCCCCCATTTCGTTTTTCTCTTCATGAAAATGTATCTGTTTGTGTGTGTGTGTTTGGCTGCCTATCCTCGATCCCCTTCCCCATTCTCTTGACGACCTGTAAACGTTGGACTGGCGCTGTGTGGGCGTTGATAGTTGGATGTGTTAATAAAGCTATTAATGTGTGCTATTAATCAGTGAATATGCTTTAATGAGTTTACGCTGATGTATAAGGTGAGGACACAGAGTGCGTCATTTTGCATCGGATTTGCTAATAGGAGTATTCAAACAGCAAACTTTCTTGGAGTGAACATTGCACCGATTTGGGGTTGGGGTGGGTGGGCGACAATAACTCAGCAGGTTTTCTCAGACCAATGGTGAGTGTTATCTAATCTTTACTATCTTAGTCTTCATATAATGACCTCTGAATTGTTGTGTATCAGCCACACCATTATAATCATATTGACCAAAATGGAGATTACTTTATGAATAGGAGACAGTGGGGTATTCATTAAATACACGAACACAACTACTTGTCCCATGGCCATGTCGTGGGTAGTGGGGCTTATCAGATCCAATTTAGTCCCTTCCCAGTGTAAGACTTGTTCTCAACGTGCATGGTGTGTATAGCTGTTACTTTGTACAAATACTAACCAGTCCTCTGGATACCGCACAATATAAAACGCTAATTCAGTGGCAAGAGTTCAGAGAGAAAACATCTGGACCATAAAACCATGTAGGAATGACTAAACGGTGGAGGGTTGGTGTGGGGGGGGGGGGGAGAGGGTCTACACGATCGCATCTATTGAGGTCACTGGACACTCAAGCAAACCCATAAAGAGGTCAATTTCGTTAGACTAGTACCATATCTCATGGTCTGGATGGGCAATACTGGCTCAGAAAGGAAGCCTGCACAGTGAAAAATGTTGGTTGCTCTATTAATAGAATACTAATAGATAGACAAAAGTGTAATATTATATGTTGAACAAAATGGGGTGTGCGATGGAGTTACCTCCACGTGAAGCAACCTGGGCAACGTATACTCATACGCCAAAAAGTCTATTATTCGGCAGTTGACTTCTCACTTCAAACTACCATGACACCACTGTATGTCAAATTCGACTACTTCCACAGTTCTCACCTCACCTTTTTTCTACCTTTGTGTCTGTCTCTTTTAAATCTTTGAAACACTCTAATTTTTCTCACTGATGCTCCTTCCCTCTGTGAAGTCCGAAGTCAGCTAAAAGGCTATTGACAACTATCAAAACGCCTGTCATTTGAAGTAAATAAATAAAATCTTGGTCAAGGGAGAGGCAACTCGGAGTCTTCTTAGCAGGAAAATTGATTTCTCTGTATCGCCTTCACCAGCCAGCCCATTTCGCCTATTTTTTGACGTCAAAAAGCTTTCTAGGAAAGATCACAGTTTAAATGACCAACTCTATTCAACCTTCAATCTTTCCTGCCCTGTCTGTTAGTTAGATCATATTGCATGACCAGACGGTGGGTCTTTTCAGACAATTCTGGCTCAGAATTTCTCAAATCGAGGGTAAATAATTCCCTTGAATCTCTCTTAACCTGACGTTTGTTGGCTGTCATTCGACATTAACAGATATACGACAGAGTATCCCAATTAACGCTTTAACTCCTGAATTACTTAATTGAAAAACGCATCCACAACAGACTAATGCCGCCGATGTAATGACTATTTGTGGTAATAGGCGAAGGCTATTGACACGTATTGAACATGTTTTAGACGGCAATAGCCCGCCTTCTGTTACGAGTCTAGCATCACAATGGAGCTTATTTTGAAAGAGGACCGTACTGTTCTGCAGGGCGTTAAAAGGTTAACTAAAATGAAACCATTGTATTATAGGGAAAATTGCATGAAATTCACTCTCCTGAAGTCGGGCGTTGTGTGTGCGCTCTATTGAGTGCCTTCGATTGTAAGGAAGAGTAGTCTTAGTTATCAAAGATGTGGGTTGAAATGAAGAGTGAAATGAAGCAGCTTTGGAAAAATAACTAGTCCTTGAAATTAATTAACTGCAGCATGAAATGTCCACTATCCACTCTTAAAGTATGACCTTGTGAGTTGCAGCGTGTTATGGGTCGTCTGGGGCTTGATGGTGGAGAACGGTGGGCGAAGACTAATAGATTGCATTCGGGTGTTCTATACTTCAAAGCACTAAGATTAACCAGTTCCAATTTATATATGAGAAGAAAACTCCATAGGTTAAATAACATTAAATAACAATTTTACGGCCAAAGAAAATCCATGCGGTTAATGCAATGTAAATCCACCTAACCTTAAGCGCTTAAATTCCAAAAGCTCATCAGGAGAAGCGTTAGTAATACCTGATCAGAAATTCTGGAGCTCCTCTATTGAGAAACTTTAGTTGTACAATCCCTCGTATGGTTTGTACGGTTGCCATATTTTCTAAAGGGGGTACAAATAGGTCCTCTTGATAGAACTGATAGCCTAAGTCATCTGCCTGCCCAGGTGTATAAACGTCTCGGCGAGGAGTGTTTTGGCACACTCCTCTACCAATGAAGGTCCACCCTGGCGGATGTGAGTTATTATGTGTGTTTCCACCCTATCTAATTTTGTCCTAAAAGTACATTCACTTTACCCTTTTTTAGCCTTATAACGTGGCCGGAACACACTTACCGGTTTCAGCCATTCTATCACGCACTCAGATCGTCCTGAGATTTCTCTTTGTTCTCAATTAAGCTCACCAATCATTCGGCTCTTTTGTTTCCAGCTTATTGTACGGTGGGATTCGAGACGAGTTAGTTGGGGGGAGGGGGGGGGAGGGTTGATAGCTTAACTAGACTCACGCATAGAATTAGTTATCTGACTATTCCTTACGGACACCCTTTTAATTGAACCGGTATTTACTTCATTAGAGGGATGAATATTGGTGAACACCGATGGTGAGATTCTTGATGCTGAACCTATTGATATTGCTCACTGCGAACAATGAAATTAATTACTTTGGTATACTATTTAAGTTGGATATAATATTTTTTTGCCATGGGGGGGTGACTATTAATGCCACGTAGATCATATGGTCAACATTCTCAAGCATGACTATTACGCATAATGGGCTTTTTTAAGTACGCAACAATTAAACGTATGCTTTCTGGACAAACCCTAGGACGGGTGATCCGGAGGTGGGTTATTCCTTTTCTCTGCTGCTAATTCATTGGAGTGGGAAGAAGAACGGCAGATTCGGATAATGTTCAACAACTCTGATTCCCAACAATTGGCCAGAGAGTGGAGTCCAAATTGCTCATTCACATTTCCAGTTTCTATAAGTAATGTGCCAAGTCGACGGACCCCACACTCCTGAACACGACTAACATCGGATCTTATCCCCATCTACCAAAGTGGTCATTGTGATAGTATCGGTAAATTATCACACAATAATATTTTAGAGCAAGGGTGTGCAGTAGACTTGCCTCCACGTGATGTACCTCTGGCAACGTACACTCATACAGCAAAAAAGTTTATTATCCGGCAGTTGACTCCTGACTCCAAACTATCATGACCCCACTGTATGTCACATTCGACCACTCCCACAGTACTCATCTTGCCGTTTTTCTGCCTTTGTGTCTGTCTGTCTCTTTTACATCTGTGAGCCACTACTCTGTTCCCCCTCTACACTTTTTTCCCATTTTGATGTTTATCGCCTCTGTGAAGTCCGAAGTCAACTAATGGGCTAATGATATCTATCCATTTGATATGAATAAATATTTTTAGAGCATTTCCTATTTAGGAATGCCAAACAGAGAAACCCCTCGGGCGTTAAAAATACTAGGGTCACACTCTAGTAACGCTAGGTTAGCCAATGGGCACAGGCTGGTATATTAGTTTTCCTATCAACATGCCTTCTTCTCCTGTAATCTCCCTTATGCGACTTATTTTTAAATAGGCATTATTCTACCTTCTAAATATGAAGGTCTATCTGACAGAGAACTGCCTTCCATTCCATGAACACTTTTATCGATCTGTTTGTATTCACATCACAATCGTAACCAATTGTTATTAATAAGGACGCATTAAAGATTGGAATTGCGGAATTAAATCAAACTCAGAATCCCACTTAGATGCGAATAAAACGTAGCTATTGAAACCGTGCAATAATTAGATTTGTGCCAGAACTTTACTCACTACAAGACAATTTATTACTTCTAGCAAACCGTTCTAAAAATTAAGGTCATTAAATAGGACTGGGGAGGGGGGAAGGGTCTGTGGTCAACCCAAAGTCGATTCGACAAGGGTTTTGCCCAGACGAAGTGGAAGAGGTTAGGAGCAGCGACCGTCCTCATTTTGCTTAAACGAGTTGGCCACTATAAAGCCACCTCCAAGATATGGGCTGTTCGTTCTAGAAACCAAGCGTGGAAGCGAATATTTAGCTCATTATTTATTTATTTATATCAAATGGCAGGCGT